ATCCCTTTATTCTGTAAGGAACTTTGTTTTCTTGTTAAATTCTGGAATTTCTCATCCATTATCCCTTTTACATTGCCTCCTTCCATTCTATTCTCTCCTCTGAAACTGCCATTATATAGATGCTGGGTCTTCTTGTACGATTGTACATGACTCAGTTTCTCTCAGCTGCATTCCGTGGTTTCCTCAGATCCACCTTCCATTTTCTCTTCATCTCTATATCGTGTTTAACTCATCCATTGACCGTTAATGACTTTATATTTTGTTTATTTCTGGACATCCTGTATTAGTCATTTCTTGTTTTGTCCTGTATAATTTTCTATTCTTTTATCTCTTTGAACAGTTTCAAACACACCCTCAAGTTTAAACATGTACCCATATTCTCAAGTCTCTTCCTAATGGCACCAGTTCTGAGGACATTTTCCAGTCTACGGTGTCTGCTTCCTCAAATGGTGGGTATCTGCGAGCTACGCCCAGCAGGGCTTGTCTTCCTGTCAATCCGTGTGCCCTGGTTGAGGAAATGCCCTTACAGAACAGTTTCACATTTGCCTCTATGGGGTCTATAGGCTTCTCCAGTCCTGGGTGGACTTTATCTGAATTTCTTGGTCAGTGGTCCTTATATTAAAGGGTAGGGCTCAGCCCTCACCCCATGCACAGCACAGGCCTGAGTTTCTGGGGGTTTTGTCTTGGGACTTTCTTCATCAAATGGCAACAAATGACAAGCTTCCTTGGATGGGATAGTTTTCTAGTCTGTTCTTACACAGGCAACCTTTCCCAGCTCTGGCTGGAAGCATGCAGCTCCATTTCAGCCCTTTTTCTACACAGAGGCCCCCAAATCCCACTGGGTAAAAGCCTGAGCCTCTGTCAGTCCCGATTCCCCAGGCCTCTTCCTTCCACCCCAGCACAGCACCTTGAAACCTCACTGTTTTTGTTGCCTGATTTCCTATTCTTGGAGTTGAGCTCAACTATGTAATAACTCTTTTGGTTTGCTCATCGTACTTCTATGAGTTGTAAGAGAGAAGGGGTGTTCTCCCCATGTGTTCAGTCAGCCTGTGGTCTACTTATCTTTGGGGATATAATTTTCTCTTTTCTAGCCTGTTTTGTTGCCTGCCATTAGCAAAAGGGGAGCAAGATACCACTGGTTGGCCAGGAACGCATGAGCAGATAGCACTACAGTATACTGGGACTCTTATAGGTGCAGGGAACTAGACAGATAAGGCCTGAGCTCTCAGGGGGCTTATGGTCTCAGGAGGGAACAGAAATAAACATCCAGCACTGCACTAGAACAGGGACTGTGACAGAGATGTCCAGGTGCTCTGGGAAGACTTCTCTGAGTAGGTGATATTTGAACTGAGAAATGAATGGAGGAGCAAGCCATGGATATTTCAGACAGAAGGAAGTGCTTCTGCAAAGACCCTGGGGTATGTCCAGGAGATCCGGGAACAGAAAGGAGGCCTGTGCAGCTGGAGTGACCGTGAAGGGAGGCGGGTAGGGGCAGAGCAGTCAGAATATGGCTTTTCTTCTTCACAATCCACTGCAGTATTTTCAGCAGGAGGTGACATGTTCTGATTAGATGGGATTTTCTGCAATAAAAAAGCCTGTTGGAAGCACTTGCTATTAGGGCCTAGCCAGGCCTGAGCAGTCCCAGGTGCCTGCAGTTTATTCTGAGTCGGGAAAAAAAGTCAGCAAGAGGAGGAACTCAGAGTGGGAAGGGCCCTGGGAGACCTTCCAACAAACTGCCTTATTTGATGGTGGAAATGGAGTCACAGCTTGTAAATTCTCTAGGACTTGACTTTACTGTCTATAAAGTGGACATAAGAACAGCTCTGGCCTCACAACACTGAACATTAGCTAAGGCAAGGAAGGGACAACCTGCACATAGTGGGCATGCCATGCGTGGGGACGCTAGGAGGGTCACTATCAGCACGCACTGGGACTAGAACCCGGGCCTCTCAGAGAGCTCCCAGTAGGAGCCCTGTCACCTTCTACTTCTTGGGGGTAGAGAAGGGGTTGTGGAGCTGTAGGACAAAGGGAGGCCGGCCTGCAGCAGTCTAAGGCCTCACACCTGTGGCAGGCAGGGGGACAGCCTGGGGACAGCTCTGGGAGAAGCGAGAATGATCTGTGCCTGGCTGTGGCTCAGTGGTTGAGCATCCACCTATGATCCAGGAGGTCACAGTTCGATTCCTGGTCAGGACGCATGCCCGAGTTTCAGGCTCAATCCCCAGTGTAGGGCATGCAGGAGGCAGCTGATCAATGATTCTCTCTCATCATTAATGTTTCTAGCTCTCCCTCTCCCTTCCTCTCTGAAATCAATAAAAAAAATTTTTAATGATTTAAATAATAATAATAATAAAAAAGAATGATTTGACCCACTGAGCTCTCAGTACTCTAGGTTCCAAAAGGGGGATGACCTGCCTGCACACAGAACAGACCACTGAGCCTCACCAAAGCTGCTCAAACCAAAATGTGATCTTACAGTTTGAGGCCAGAGGGACTTCGTTTATGTCTACTCTCTTCCCTCCCAGAGCTTTGCCAGGCTCCTCCAGTCCCCAGCTGGCAGGGGGGTCTCAGGGTGTTTCTCAGGGCAATGGTGGTGGGCTGGGACCCTGCTCATCACCACGTCCCCCACAATCTTCACTCCCACTAGGTGCAGGTCCTTCCTGGGAGTGGCAGGTCCCCGGAGGCGGGCAGTGCCTCTGGGCAGCTTCCTCTTGCTGCCGACCCTGCCCGGGCCCAGCTCACCCACACGTCCTGAAAGGTTCCCTTCCCGGTACAACGCAGGGTGCAGACCGCACTGCTTTCTTCACCAGAGCTCCTGAGCACAGGCTCAGGGTGCCTGGGGGCCTGTCATCCTTCCCCAGATGCAGTCTGGAAGTTGAGCTGGGAGGGTTCCCTCTGGGCAGTTTTAGATATCCTGGAAAACTCAGAGCTGGAAGGGGGGGTGGTCACTCCCCTGGAGACCCCGGGGCGGAAGCCCCACTCCAGGGCAGGAGGGGTGGCGGGAGCAGGTGGTCCCCGCCCAGTTTTCCCAATCCTCGAGGGCGGTGACTCTCCGGAAACCACCCGGGACGACAGCCTCTTCCCCCAGGGCTGCAACTTCCTCTATCTGGAGAGGTCCCGGCGGGGTGGAGAGGTGAACAGGGGACCGCAGTGGGGGGAGGGGACGGGGGCACGCGGGTCTGCAGTCGCAGAAGGGTTCCCGGACAACCTCCGCAGCCCCGAGGTCTCCCGCTGCCGGGCGCCTCCGAACCCAGCCCGCCCTTGGCTCCCCGCTCCCGCCACGCAGCTGCGGGTCTCCACAGGGGTCTCGGGGCCACACCTCCAAGCTTCAACTCCCACCTCCGGCCTGCAGCCCGGAGTCTCTGACTCAGGACCCTGGCTCCCCGGCCCCGGCCCCGCCCACCCGGTCCCTCGGCCCGCAGCCTGGGCTCTCGGCGCCCCAACTGCCCCAGCCTGCAGCCTCGGGTCGCTGATTCCCCAGGTCCTCATCGCCAGCCCACCCCATCCCCTCCTCGCAGCCTGCGGTCCCTGTGCCCCCAGCCCGCCCCGCCCCGGCCCGCGTGCCGAGCCCGGCGCACTCACTCAGGCCGGACGCCAGCGCCTGCTCGTTGGCCCACATGGCCCACTCGATCTGCCCCATTCCGGCGGCGGACGCGGCTGGCTCCGCTGGGACACTGAACCCCGCGCGCCCGCTGCCTCGCAGCCCGGAGTTCCGGCCCCGCCCCGCCCCCTAGTTCCCGGGGCAGTCCCGCCCCGCCCCGCCCCGCCCCGCGGAACAGCAGTGCGTCCCGAGTTCCGGCCCCGGCCCCGCCCCTAGGAGACAGGCTGGGTGAGCAGGGGAGCCACGGTGGTGGGCACTCAGGAAGCCTGCCCGACGCCTTCAAGCTTGCAGGTCCGAGGGGCCCTCGCCTCACCTCCTCCAGCGCCCCGGGCCCACCGCAGGCCGCACCCACCTGGATGCCTGCTTGGTGCTGGGAGTGTGCTCTGCCAGCTCCACCGCAGTCAACCTGGAGCGCCCTAAGCACTGCCCGGGGGAAGGGGCGCTGGAACCCGCTTCATTAGGCAGTGTCATCCCAAAATGCTGAACCTCCTGCAAGTGCCAGCAGGGTCTCCTTTGGAAGGTGTGAGCAGGCCAAGTTCCTAGGGGGTTTAAAGGTCCAGAGCCATGCCCACTCCAGGGAGAAGAGCCTCAGACAAGGAAGGAGCCTGAGCCTGGGGCGAGGCTCCATAGAAGCCAATATTTGCTACTTAGGACAGTGGCAGGTCCAACCCTCACTTCCTGACCCTGGGCTAGCCAGGTGTGGTGGGCAACCCTCTGCTCATAGGACTAACTTAGGGGAGGAGAACAAGGTGTGCAAAGCTAGGAAAATCTAGAATGTAGGAGTGCTAGGTCCTGTCCCTTTGTCATTTCCCTCCTCTGCCCTCTCCCTTAAGGGTCAGCAGCAGCATCTGACCCTCCTGGGGTGGAGGCAGGGAACCCGGAGGCAGGTCAAAGGGCACCGGTGTCCACCCTCCTTTTCCCGCAAGCTGATGGTGCTGAAGCTGGGAGCGTGGGGAAGAGTGCAATGACTCACACACTAATGTAAGTACAGCCATTCATAGAAGTACCAGCCATTCCTGGGTTCCAGAAACCATAAGCTTCTGGGCTGAGGGAACCTTCCCGAATCAGTGCCGTCTGCACGCGTTTCCCACTTTTGTAGACTGGAAGCTTCAAGCCAGACCCGAACCCTGTCCCCATACCTGTCAGAGCCCTAGTGACCATGTCTGCCATCTAGTGTGGCCCGTGGCCATGGGAGTGGCTGTGTGATGAGTACCCCACCGCAGGCTGGGCAACTGAAGGGGAGCTTTGGGTCAGAAGGAGCTTCTTCAGGAGCAAGTCAGCAAGTGGGCAAGTTCCAAGTTCTTTGGCAGGAGAAGCACATGGGCCGTGCCCTCCCCAGCCCTCCCGATGAGTGCTGCCCACTGCCCACACAGGGACGCTGGTTACACAGAAGCACGCCAAGCCTGATCAGCAATTCTGGCTTTATTCCCAGTTGCCAGGGCTCCTTGTGACAGTGGGGCTTCCGTATAACAAGGCATCTTGGGCTGCTCTCCCATCTCCCTTGGAGTCACAGTCCTAGTCTTTTTATGAAGAAACATTCTCTCCACACGCAGCGCTCTGAGCTCTGGCAGAGGAGCTAGGGTGACTGTCATGCTCAAAGCACTTTGTAGAGGGATCCTGAGCTTGCAGAAGTTGCTTCCTGAACAGTGACCAGTCCTCCAGCTCCAAAGAGGGATGCCAACTCTCCGTCATCTCAGTGAAACAGCTCCTGTTTCGGCGAGTGAACGTAGCCCCAGAGCTCAGGGTCAGAGACCCTTCACCTGGGCACACCAGCAGCTCAACCCAATGGGCTGGATCCACCAGGTCCCACATCCCATCCCAGCCCTCATCTCAGCACGGCACAGGCAGGAAAGGTGAGGCACTTGGCGGGGTGCCCTGTTCCTGGCCGCCTGGGAGCCTGCAAGTAGTCACTTCACTGCCCCCACTTGGCCATAGCACACTGACCAGCCCGGAGCCAGGTAGCCACCCTCCAGTCCCAACAAGCATGGCACAGCTGCTGCCACACCCAGCTCCCCAGTCCCAGCAAAGCAGTCCTTTTTCCAAGTGGTGGCCAGGGCTCCGCTCAAGGAGGCGGTCAAACTGTTGGCTTCGGTAGGCTGTCCGGGCCCAGGAGGTGAGCGTGAGGGTGGTCCAGGATTTGAGGCCCGGGCCCCACCTGGCAGGTAGAGAAATCAATGTTCAGTTGGGTGACAGGGAAGGACAGGTGTACCCTCCAGCCTCCCAGGAAAGTACAGGTCAGAAGCTGACCACCGTGTGGTGATGCCCTGGCCCTTTGCCCAACTCCCTTAGGCAAGAGCCACGTGGTCCCAGCCTCCACTACCCAGACTTGAGTGAAAGGTAGAGACAAAGAGTCATGAGGCCTTGGAATTGAACCATCTGAGTGAAATCCTAGCTCAGCCACTGAGCAAGGATCCTGATCTGCTTCCAGTGGGTGAGCGCTGAGGGTCCCCAGGATCCCCATCTCCATGGCCAGCCCTGCCCTCTCCCCTAAGCACTGGGAACACAGCCCAAGTCACAGTGTGTCCTGAAAGCAAGTGAGTGAAACAAACCAGTGGACCAGATACCTTGAAATTGCTGTTATTCTTGACGAAGTGGGGGTAAAGGGAACCCCTTCACTTGGTTTCACCTGGTGGACACACTGGGTCTAAGGCCATGAAGCCTGTGTACTGGATAGAAACTTCCCTGGGTGTGCTGGGCCGTGAAGGCCCCAGGTCCTGGTGTTGAGGGCTGGTACCAGGCCTCACCTGAGTGGCAATGATGTATTTGATGCCGCCGGGGGTAGGATCCATGCCCAGTGCAGCTTTAAGCTCGTCTGAGAGCGGGCCAGGCTTCACGGGCAGCCCCTTCAGAAACCTGGGGAAAGGAAGGCAGGAGTGTTGTGTGCCCATCGACAGGAGCATGCAGACCAAAGACAGGAAGGGTGTGACTGACGATGGGTACAGGGTTTCTTTTGGGGTGATAAAAAATTCTCGAACCAAAAGAAGTGCTGGTTGCACAACAATGAATATACTTAATGCTATACACTTCAAAGTGTATTTCACCACACATAAAATGACCAAGGGCCAGGCTGGGGTCACCGTGAAGGGAGGGTTTCAGGAAACCTCCCTGAGGTTTTGGATTCACCCATGGCCCGTGGCTACTGCTCCACCCAGTGGGGTAACAACTTAAACGCCTCAGTTCGGGCATGAGTCCATCACTGTGTTCCTCTGCCCACCACCCACTGCGGTGACAAGGGCCATGAGTACAGAGCTTCTGATGAGGGCACCCCCGGCCTCCCAGGCCATCATGGCTGTCCCACTTGGTAAGGAAGTTAGTATTCTGGCCTCCCACCCACTAGCCACCAGTGCTGTCCCAATTATGGAGACAGGTAAACCGCCCCCCCTTTCCAGTACCTCTAACAGGAAGGTGTCCCCACGTTGAGAAGGGACCATTAAAATGGGTGCAAAGAAATCCAAATGCTCTGTCCCCACTGCGGGGCTGTAGCCACTGTCCACACAGGAGCCACGATGCCATGTGCGTGGGTGTGTCTGTCACGGGCTAAGGCATGTGATGGGAAGTTCCCAGTCACAGCAAGGCGCACTTGGTGACACACTGCCTGTGGTCCAAGGGGATCTACACTTCTTGCGGGACTCCCCGTTCAGCACCACAGCCTCAGGAGCAGCTGTCCCTGATCCCAATAGGAGACCCTGCTCCTCCCTCCACGGCTTCCCAAGTTGGGGGACCCACAACTCACTTGTCTCCGTTTGACTCAGGGGGAAAGCTGTGCCTCACGGCAGCCACAAATTCAGCCACAGTGTCGTCCAGAGTAAAGATCACCGCGTTGGGGCCTGCATCAAATGTATACGCCACCTGGAACCCATGCAGTCAACGTCACTATCTGGACAGTGGCTCTGCCTGGCCCAGACCCTCTAGACCAGCGGTCGCCAACCTTTCGGACCTCATGGACCACCAGTGGTCCTCGGGCCACCGGTTGGCGACCGCTGCTCTAGACTGCCCAGAGACCCAGGGCCTCCCACAGCACCCGCGAGGCCAACCCCGAGTAGAGCAGTGGCACTTCTGCTGGACAACTCAGAACTGAGGGCAAGGGAGCTCCCCAAACCAGTGCTTTAAAGTGCAGCCTGGGATCCCTCAGTGGGTCTTACAACCAAAATGAAACAGAGTGCGACGGAAACTATTGCTGCTCTGCACGCAAGAGCATGAAGCAGGTTCCGTGGCGCTCTGTCACCGACAAGCATGTGCTGGTTTTACTGAAGATCATGGCCTGAGGCCCACTCTGTGGGATTCTGGTGCTGCCCCGGCCCCACCTTGCCTTGGTCTGCCCATGGTGGGCATTGAAGCGGTGCACCAGGTGGATGATACGCCTGGAAGTGTCGTTGAGATAAGAGATGGGTGGGAAGGTGTCCAGGCAGGTGGCATGGAACTGGTTGCTGTCCTTCATGGTCAGCTCACCAAAGCCCTGGAAATTTCTCTCTTTGACATAGCGGATCATCTCTGCCATGCGCGCCGGCACCACCGCCTCAGCCCGGAACTGCAAGACACAGGTGCTTCCCAATGAGGTGCTGGCTGCTTCCCAGCACAGTGGCCTGCGGGTAGGGCCTCCCCCAGGCCCCAGCATTCATACATCCAGGAGAGCAGATGAGCTCAGTTGCAGAGGATGTGGGTGGAGCCTGGCATGTATCCTGACAAGCAGGTTGTTCCCTGGGGAGCTGACACCTGCCCCAGTGCCAGCCTTACCCTGAGCAGGGGGCTGGTCTCCACGCTGGTCTGCATGCCCACTGTGCTGCCAGTCAGCTTCTTCTCAGCGCTCACCTGTACCGAGGAGAGATGGCCTAGACCTCACACCCAGGCCCCAGCCCTAAACACCCACCCTGTCCTGTCCCTCCCCTCACTGGTACAGGCAGTAGGGTGGAGGCCAGCACCTCCTGACCATGGAGGCCTCCTGACTGGCAGAGATGACAGTCCTGAGAACAGCAGCATATAGATCAGCAACCCTCTTACTACATGGGCGTCATTCCTGAACGCCCTGTGAAGAACCATTTCATCACTCCCAGCTCAGCCCAAGAGGTCCCCGCACTCCACGGCTGTCTCACTCACCACAAGGATGAGGACTCGGAGTTCAGGCCAGTGTAATTCAGGGGCCACCTGCCGGGCAACGCTGTCCTTCCCATCAGCCTGCTCCCCCATCTGCCACTCCACGAAACCGCCGTATAGACTCCGGCAGGCGCTGCCTGAACCGCGGCGGGCCACTTCCGAAAGGTCACTCTCGACCCCATAGACTTGGGCCAGGGCATAGGCTGTAGGCACAGGAGGGAAGGTGGACAGGGGAGAGGGACTAAGATATGCTCAGCACCCTAGGAGAACGTGCCTTACAGGAAATTAAAAATTCTGAGATGACAGAATTTCAGCCACCAACTCTCACGGTTAGCATTCACCTACTCACCCATGTGGCCACCCACACGCTCACATACACTCAGCATTCCCAAAGGCGCGCTCTGGACATACAAAGACCCCTGGAGCCCGTGGAGCTGCAGTGGAGGGGAGCCACTCTTGGGGACCTGAACGACTGAGTGCCAAGGGGCCAAAGTTTCTCCAAGGAGTGGCACAAAATTGGGCTTTTAAGGGGTGCTGTTTGGGGCAGGAACCGAGGCACAGAGGCCTGAAAATGTACACGCTTGGAGTAGCTGGCATGCTGGGTGTGAAGGAGCAGGGCTGGGCCTGATCAAGGGTCTGATGCCAGGATGCACAGGGTCATAAGGCAAGAGCTCTGCCCAACACTGGCACCTCTCCCGGCTTGGCTCACCCACCCCCCGGCTCCTGAAGGTGCCGGGATACATAAGCCAAGCCAAGCCAGTAAGCATCATCCCTGGGGTTTTCATGGGCCACTGATCTCATTGGCTATGAGGACGGTGTGAGCCCACTGACCGCCACTGTGGTAACCAGCTTTGCCCCTAAGTAGGGAGATCCTACCAGAGAGTGAACCAACAGAGGTGAGCAAGACAGGATTTCATAGGAAGAAATGGATGCCCAATGAGGCAGTGGGAGAGTCTGGGGCCAGCTGCACCAGAAGGCAGCTGCACTCCTTGGAATTTTGTTACGTCCCTACTTTAGACGTAAGCCAGTTTGAGATGGCTTCTGTCACATACAACCTAGAGGGTCTGATGTATGGAACCCTCAGAAGACTTTAACGTTCAGATGTGTGAGACAACCAAGGCCTCAGCCTCTTGAGACGAGGGCTCCCCGAAAGCTGCAAGAGCATGAGTCTCCTGTGGGCACCCACCGAGGCAGGCATAGCCTGAAGCTGAGGAGGCCAGGCCTGCGGCTGTGGGGAAGTTGTTCACCGATGCGACGTGGACCTTGTAGTTGAGGCTGAGAGGCAGCGGGTCCTCCTCGTCACCACTCCTCCGCTTTCGGGCCAGACGGCGGACTGTGGGGAGGGGGAGATAGCCACTGGGCAGAGCTGCCCTGACCTGCTCCTGGCATCTCGCCTGCCAAGGGTCAGAGATACAGCTGACACCGGGCCTCTGCCTCAAATTTCTGCAGGCCTCCTTGTTCAAGAAAGCCCCAGACCTGGCTGTGCTAACAGGTGTCCCCAATCCCCGGGGGCTCTCGGAGCCAGGTGGGGAGGAAGCAGCGCCTGCTGTGCTCAGACTCCACCCAGAGTAAGGAAGAGAAGGAGGGGAAGGAACAGGCTGGAACTGGCCCCAACGTCCCAGGTGGGACCCCCACTCACTCTCCCTCAGGCAGGCCTGGATACGCGGCTGCCCTATGTCCTCTTCCCGGCCATTAAGCCAAATCCGGTCCTCAGTGAAGTCCTTGCTAATGACAGCTGTCGTAGTGGTTTTTAACTGGGAAAGAAAATGCAGGGCCACCTCAGGGGCAAAGCACCCCTTTTTGCTGAGGAGGCCTTTCCTGCCATGGCCTATCACTGTCACCCACTCAGGGGCAGGGACAGCCTTGCTGGAGAACAGGAGGTTGAGGCCAGACAGGAGGGGGTCAGACAGTGTGGTAGATAGGCTCAGCCCCAAGCCTGGTTTCCCTATACAGCAGCGGTTCTCAACCTGTGGGTCGCAACCCCTTTGGGGATCGAACGACCCTTTCACAGGGGTCGCCTAACACCATCGGAAAACACATATATAATTACACATTGTTTTTGTGGTTAATCACTATGCTTTAATTATGTTCAATTTGTAACAATGAAAATACATCCTGCATATCAGATATTTAGATGACGGTTCATAACAGTAGCAAAATTACAGTTATGAAGTAGCAACGAAAATAATTTTATGGTTGGGGGTCACCACAACATGAGGAGCTGTATTAAAGGGTCGCGGCATTAGGAAGGTTGAGAACCACTGCTACACAAGGTGAGGCTGATGCTTCCATCTCCCACAGCAGAGCCACTGGGCCGGGCACGAGTGTGAAGGGACAGATCCTCAGAGGAGACCTGGGGGTGCATGTGCGACGAGCATTCCTAACAGTGGAGCATGGAATGGACACTGTTCATGGACTGGGGATTTATTACTATCAATTATTAAACAAAAGGTTAGTAAATTTTTATTTTGGTGTTTATTGTCAGCCCATACTAACCTGGTCCTGGTGTAAAGTGACACTGAGGGAGGAGTTGATGGGCAGGATCAACTCCTCATCTCGCTTTCCCCCTGGAACAGACAACCCAAGGTAAGCTAATCAGTTTCCCAGCCCCGCAAACCAGGGCACTGTTGCCCCCACCCACCAAAGCCCCACTCCTCCCCACTAGTGCTCCCTTGTCACCCCCTCTCCCATACCACAGTTCCCCACACCCCTGGACCCTGCTCTCTCACTGTGTCCTCTTCCTGCTGTACCCACACCTGCAGGAAGCCCTCCTGGATTGCTACCCACTTCACTGTGCTCCAGGTCCCAGAGCAGAGCTGGAGGCTAACCATCTTTCTGCTTCATTTTTTTGTTTTATCGTCTTTCACCCATTGGACAAGTCACCCTGGAGTGCCTACTGGGTACTGAACGCTTGACTGGTAGGCTTTTGTCTTTTCCTCCCAAACAGGAGCAGCCTCAGTTACTGAAAATACCTCAAGTCTCCCTGCTCATACTCCCTGGAGACACCCAAAATCACCCCACTGCTGCTGAGCACTTCTACCTCCGTATCTTATGGCAAACAAAGTAAACCTTCTGGAAATTTCAAAACTCTTTGTTAAGCACACACAATGTGCTGCACTTTGGCTTGGGGGAATGGCAGAGTTACGGGAGGTAATAAGGATTCATACCCGGCAGGTGATCTTTGAGACCCAGAAAGAGTCCCCATCAATAAACCCAACTGATTTTTTATAAAAATACAAAAGCAATTCAGTGGAGGGACAGCATTTTTGGCAAAAGCTGCTGGAATAACTGGACATCCATCCATAGGTCACCGAATGAACCTCCACCCAAGTCTTATACCTTATACAAAAAATAACTCCAGATGGATCACAGACTTCAATTTAAATTGTAAACCTTTTAGGAGAAAATCTTCAGGTTGTAGGGCTAGGCAAAGAGGTCTTAGACTTGACACCAAAAGCATACATGGAATAACTAATACACTAAACTTCACCAAAATGCTTTAAACTTTGGCTGTTTGACAGAACTTGTTAGGAAGATGAAAAGATAAACTATAGAGTAAGAGGAAATATTTGCAAACCACGTATCCAACAAAGAATCAGTATCTAAAATATAAAATGAACTCTCAAAAACTCAATGGTAAAACGAACAATTCAATTAAAACATGGACAAAAGACATTAAGAGACATTTCATCAAATAGTATACAGAGATGGCAAATACGCCCATGAAAAGGTCAGCCAGCAGAAAAATGCACACTAAAACCACGATGTATCCCCTAAAACAAAAAACAGTGACATCACCAAATGCCAAAAAACAATGTAAAATGGTACAGCCACTCGGAAAAACAATTTAACAGTTTCTTTTTTAAAGAAAACAACTAAACATGCAACTATGACCCAGCAATGGCACTCCTGGGCATTTACCCTAGAACAGCGGTTCTCAACCTGAGGGTTGCAACCCCTTTGGGGATCGAACGACCCTTTCACAGGGGTCGCCTAAGACCATGGGAAAACACATATATAATTACATATTGTTTTTGTGATTAATCACTATGCTTTAATTATGTTCAATTTGTAATGAAAATACATCCTGCATATCAGAGATTTCCATTACGATTCATAACAGTAGCAAAATTACAGTTATGAAGTAGCAACGAAAATAATTTTATGGTTGGGGATCACCACAACATGAGGAACTGTATTAAAGGGTCGCGGCATTAGGAAGGTTGAGAACCGCTGCCCTAGAAGAATGAAAACTGATGTTCTCACAAAAATCCATACAAGCAGCTTATAGCAGCTCTATTCCTAACAGACTAAAGCTGGAAGCAACCCAGCTGCCTTCCAAAGGGTGTAGGACCTGTGGCCGGGCCGCACCAGGGGGCAGGACTCAGCACTAAAGGAGCAAAGCACTGATGCCACTACCATGAGCCTCCAGAGATTACAGTGGGTGAAGTGGGCCAGTTCCAAAACGCTACGTGCTGCGTCCATTGTTCATTGATGAAGTATTCTTGAAAAGAGAACATGCTAGAAATGCAGAGCAGATCCCAGGTGGCTGGGGTGGGCGTGACCGTGGGAGCTGAGTTCCATCTTAGGGATGGACATCTTGTGTGGACCATGTCCATCAAGTGTCCCGGGCCCCGAGAAGATATACGTCCTATGTGGGCTGTGTCCCCACCTCTGCGGGTATGGACGTCCCGTGTGGCCAGTCCCGGAGTGGATCCGGGGCATCGCATGCCGCACCACCGGGCCGGGTGGGCCGCTGGAGTGAGTGCTCACAACTGTATATGGACCTCCAACCGCGTTATCACCTCCTCCACCGCCCACCCGCGCCGGGCTGGAGGTCCCCACGCGCGCACCCTCGGCCCGCGCACTCACAGTACTTGATGACCGCGATGTTGACCGGCGCGGTGCAGGTCACCGCCAGGTACGGCTTCTCCGAGGCCATGGCCGAGGAACACTAGCGACCCCAGCCCACAGCCGCCAGGCTTCGGAACCCGCGCCCCAGCAGGCCTCACCATTGGCCCACGCGGTCCCAGCTGTTCGCACGTTGTCCAATCAATGGCGGGTTCTTCCCCACGCTCCACCTCTCAGCCAATAAGCGGGATCGAACGATGGACTGCTGAGGCTGAGCCCGCCCCTCTGTCCCCGGCGTGCGTGCTCGGGCTCTGCGTAAGCACAGAGCGTGCCCAGGCGTGGAACCTCCGGTGATGCGCGGTCGCGCAGGCGCGGGGCTTGCGCAAGCGCAGAGCGGCGGACTTCTAGGAGCGCTGCGGATCCAGCGGTCAGACCTCCCCGGTGGGCGGCTGAGCAGGTTCCGTCCAAGGGGTTCTCCTGGATGAGAGGAGGCTGAGTGGGGCGCGGGAGCAGCTCGGGTCGAAAGGCTGTGGTGACCATGCCAGAGTGCCCCCGGCTCCCCAGCACAGTATCTCGCAAGGCCTCCCCCGCTCCCCCGGGATTTCGGGCCCGCCACCCAGTCCGCCCTGCCGCCTGGGGTCTCCTGGCGCCCCGCCGCCCGGGGTCCCGCCGCCCACGCTTCCTCACTGGCCCTGTCATCTGGGGGTCCCACGAGCTCCGCATTCTGACCTGTGCCGCTGGGTGGCAGCTGCTAAGCATGAGAGATAAGCGCTTTCAAAGCCCACTCTCTCTTTTTTTATTTATTTATTTTTATTGCTTAAAGTATTACAAAGGGTATTACGTAGGTGTCCTTTTTTTCCCCCCGCCCTTGACAATCCCCTGGCCTCCCCTACCCCCCAGTGTCTTATGTCCATTGGTTATGCTTATATGCATGCATACAAGTCCTTCGGTTGATCTCTTACCCCCCTCCCTCCTGCCCCCCCAACCCTCCCCGGCCTTCCTGCTGCAGTTTGACAATCTGTTTGAGGCAGCTCTGCCTCTGTATCTATTATTGTTCAAAAGTTTATAATGGTCTCTATTATCCATGAATGAGTGAGATCATGTGGTATTTTTCCTTCATTGACTGGCTTATTTCACTTAGCATAATGCTCTCCAGTTCCATCTCTCTCTTTTTTTAAATCCTACCTCAAGGATGTGTGTGAGGGTTTTTTAAATCCACACACGCGCGCGCGCGCGCGCGTGCACACACACACACACACACACACACACACATTTAATTGATTTCAGAGAGGAAGGATGAGGGAGAGAAACATCTATGTGAGAGAGAAACGATTGGTTGCCTCCCAAACACACCCAGACCAGGGATGGAACCGCAACCTAGGTGTGTGCCCTGACGGGATCCGCGGGCCCTTCTGTGCCCGGACAATGCTCCAACCAGCGGAGCCACGCCGGCCAGGGCCCCGCTCTCCTTTTTTAAGCTCCATATAAGCAAGGATTACTTTTTTAGGGGTTGAAATGGGTTGCCACATAAACACGTACATGGGCTTTTCCCTTGTGGTATAATACACATAAAGCTCGTCAGTTTAACCACTTTAAGTACACAGTTCTGTGGTATTAAGTAAATTCCCACTGACATGTGACCATCACCACTATCCATCTCCAGAACTTTTTCATCATTCTAAACTGAAACTCCTTACCCATTGAACAGTAGTAACCCCATTTTTCTCTTCCCTTTATAAAAATTTATTTTTAGCTTTAAAATGGTTCAGACTGCAGTCAAGATATTAAGAGAATTAAGAGTAACACAAAGTTCAAAACAACTATGAGGTACCATCTCACACCTGTCAGAATGGCTATCATCAACAAATCCACAAACGACAAGTGCTGGAGAGGATGTGGAGAAAAAGGAACACTCGTGCACTGCTGGTGGGAATGCAGACTGGTGCAGCCACTATGGAGGACAGTATGGAGTTTCCTCAAAAAACTAAAAATGGAACTCCCATTTGACCCTGTGATCCCAGTCCTAGGAATATATCCCAAGAAACCAGAAACACCAATCAGAAAGGATATATGCATCCCTATGTTCATAGCAGCACAATTCACCATAGCTAAGATCTGGAAACAGCCTAAGTACCCATTAGCAGATGAATGGATTAGAAAACTGTGGTACATCTACACGATGGAATACTATGCTGCTGTAAAAAAGAAGGAACTCTTACCATTTGCAACGGCATGGATGGAACTGGAGAGCATAATGCTAAGTGAAATAAGCCAGTCAATGAAGGAAAAATACCACATGATCTCACTCATTCATGGATAATAGAGACCATTATAAAATGATGAACAAAAATAGATACAGAGGCAGAGCAACATTGAACAGACTGTCAAACTACAGTGGGAAGGCCAGGGAGGGTTGGGGGCGTGGGTAAGAGATCAACCGAAGGACTTGTATGCATGCATATAAGCATAACCAATGGACACAAGACACTGGGGGGTAGGGGAGGCCAGGGGAAGGTCAAGGGGAGAAAAAAAAAAAAAGGAGACATATGTAATACTCTTTGTAATACTTTAAGCAATAAAACAAACAAAAAAAGAGTAATACAACATCTCCCACCCTGGGCCCTATTACAGTGTCTTTGTGTATCTTTCTCCCAATATTTTATGCAAAATACAGGTACACCTTGGAGATGTTACAGGTTCGGTTCCAGACCACTGCAATAAGGTGAGTCACAGGAATTTTTTGGTTTCCCAGTACATATGAGAGTTATGTTTATACTATACTGTAGTCTATTAAGTATGCAATAATAGCATTATGGCCAGAAAAACTACATATCTTTTTAAAATAAGATTTTAATTTTTCAATTACAGTTGACATACAGTATTGTATTAGTTTCAGATGTACAATATAGTGATTAGATATTTAACTTGTGGACGAAGGGGGCCACATGCTGACCTGACAAGGCTTAGGTGAGGCCTGCATGGCGGTCTTGCAAACTCAGAGACCTAAAGTAACCACAAAGGATGGTATGAAATTAAAGTTTGACTAAAAGCAGTTATGGTGGGCAGCTACATCCTAGACCTGTATCTTCACTGACAAGGTCAACCTTCACCTTAACTGAGCCTATCTGTCTTTTTTGCATCTATGACAACATACCCTTGAAATGTCTGGGTAACTTGTAACTTCCCTTTGTCTGGAGCCCCTGGGGCACACCGAAATGTGCTGGGCCCCAGGACAAGTACCACAAATTCCTTCATTATCATGTTAATTGATCCTGCATCCACCTAAGTATGTGTCCATCATTTTACTTTTTAGCCAATCCCAGGGTTTCCCCTGCTTTGCTTTATCCCTCCTCCTTAATCTATCACCAATGAATTTCATATAACCCACCTATGTCCCTCCTTTGACTGCAATGTGTAAATACAAATGTAACCCCGCCATTCTCTGGAGCACTATCTCAATTCGTTGAGGTTCTGCTTCCCGGCATATGTCTACAGTTTGGCTCAAATAAACTCACAAAAATTCTTTACAGGTTTCAATGGTTTTTTTTACGTTAACATGTGCATGTGCAAGTATTTCTTTTTTTAAAAAAAATCTTTATTGTTGAAAGTATTACATATGTCCCCTTTTTTCTCCCATTGACCCCTTATAGCCTACCCTGCCCCAGGCCTCCACCACCCTATTATCTGCATCCATGGGTTATGCATATATGCATAAAAGTTCTTTGGTTGGTCTCTTCTCACCATTCCACCCTTCCCCACCTTCCCTCTGAGATTCGACAGTCTGTTCCATGTTTCTGTCTCTGGATCTGTTTTGTTCAACAGTTTATTTTGTTCATTAGATTCTACATTTGAGTGAGATCATGTGATACTTATCTTTCTCTGACTGGCTTGTTTCACTTAGTATAATGCTCTCCAGGTGCAAGTATTTCTATAGGAGAAATTCCTGGACTTGGAATCGCTGGGCCAAGTGGAATGTGCCGGACGTAATTTTGACAGCTGTGGGCAAGTTGCCACTGGAAATTGAATGTATTGTTGAAGTCTAGTGTGCATACTGTGCCAGCACAGTGGCTCACCCATCAGTATGATGGGTGAACAGTGGTATCTCACTGTTGTTTACACTTGTATTTCAGATGATTATTATAAGTTTTTCTTGCAACCACTTTTCTGTTTAATGCAAAGCCTCTCAAATTTATTTTGAAGAATTAATGGTTGATTGCTTTGGACAATAGTCATGGTGTATTCTCTGAGCTACGGAGGAAAGGGTTGAAAACAAGTCACCCGTGAACCCCAGTAATTTATGTTCTGCTGTGATAGTGATGGGAGGGAGAGCACAGATATTTATTAAGCATCTATTTTGTGCCAGATACTATGCGAGGTGTTAGACCTCCGTTATATGGGCAACTTTTCTGTTTCACTGTTATAATCAGTTTATAATCAAAGTATCAGAAGATGGGGCCTTTGGGGGTGGTGATTAGGCAGAGCCTTCATGAATGGGATTAGTGTCCTTGTAAAAGAGCCCAGAGAACATTATCGCCCCCTCCACCGTGCAAGGACACAGCAAGAAGACAGCCATCTGTGAACCAGGAATCCGGCTGTCACTATACACTGAATCTGCCAGCACCTTGATCTCAGACTTCCAGCCTCCAGAACAGAGAGAAATCAATGGTTGTTTAAACCCCCAATCTAGGGTATTTTTTGTTCTAGCAGCCAGACTAGACTATTATATATCCACTAGAGGCCCGATGCACAAAATTCGTGCATGGGTAGGGCCCCTAGGCCTGGCTGGCGATCAGTCCCGATCTGTGGGGCGACTGGCGGGGCGAGTGGGGTGGGCCCCCACTGGCAGCCACCTTGGCTGGCTGGGGCCTGTGGGCTGGGGGCAGCTCCTGCTTTGAGTATCTGCCCCCTGGTGGTCACTGTGCATTATAGCGACCGGTTGTTCCACTGTTGGTTGATTTGCATGTTAGGCTTTTATTATATAAGATGATTTAAAAAGTTAATTACTGCCCTAGTGGTGTGGCTCAGTAGATAGAGCGTCGGCCTGCGGACTGAAGGGTCCCAGGTTTGATTCCGGTCAAGGGCATGTATCTTGGTTGCAGGCACATCCCCAGTGGGGGGTGTGCAGGAGGCAGCTGATTGATGTTTTTCTCTCTCATAGATGTTTCTAACTATCCCTCTCCCTTC